TCAGGTGACAGCAGAATGTGGGAACTGGCAGCATCTCTTTCAGTTAGTTAATGTCTGCAGTTAGTGATAGGGGAGTGAGGCGTTCAGGTGACAGCAGAAGGTGGGAACTGGCAGCATCTCTTTCAGTTAGTTAATGTCTGCAGTTAGTGATAGGGGAGTGAGGCGTTCAGGGGACAGCAGAAGGTGGGAACTGGCAGCATCTCTTTCAGTTAGTTAATGTCTGCAGTTAGTGATAGGGGAGTGAGGCGTTCAGGTGACAGCAGGAAGGTGGGAACTGGCAGCATCTCTTTCAGTTAGTTAATGTCTGCAGTTAGTGATAGGAGTGAGGCGTTCAGGTGACAGCAGAAGGTGGGAACTGGCAGAATCTCTTTCAGTTAGTTAATGTCTGCAGTTAGTGATAGGGGAGTGAGGCGTTCAGGTGACAGCAGAAGGTGGGAACTGGCAGAATCTCTTTCAGTTAGTTAATGTCTGCAGTTAGTGATAGGGGAGTGAGGCGTTCAGGTGACAGCAGAAGGTGGGAACTGGCAGAATCTCTTTCAGTTAGTTAATGTCTGCAGTTAGTGATAGGGGAGTGAGGCGTTCAGGTGACAGCAGAAGGTGGGAACTGGCAGCATCTCTTTCAGTTAGTTAATGTCTGCAGTTAGTGATAGGGGAGTGAGGCGTTCAGGTGACAGCAGAAGGTGGGAACTGGCAGCATCTCTTTCAGTTAGTTAATGTCTGCAGTTAGTGATAGGGGAGTGAGGCGTTCAGGTGACAGCAGAAGGTGGGAACTGGCAGCATCTCTTTCAGTTAGTTAATGTCTGCAGTTAGTGATAGGGGAGTGAGGCGTTCAGGTGACAGCAGAAGGTGGGAACTGGCAGCATCTCTTTCAGTTAGTTAATGTCTGCAGTTAGTGATAGGAGTGAGGCGTTCAGGTGACAGCAGAAGGTGGGAACTGGCAGCATCTCTTTCAGTTAGTTAATGTCTGCAGTTAGTGATAGGAGTGAGGCGTTCAGGTGACAGCAGAAGGTGGGAACTGGCAGAATCTCTTTCAGTTAGTTAATGTCTGCAGTTAGTGATAGGGGAGTGAGGCGTTCAGGTGACAGCAGAAGGTGGGAACTGGCAGAATCTCTTTCAGTTAGTTAATGTCTGCAGTTAGTGATAGGGGAGTGAGGCGTTCAGGTGACAGCAGAAGGTGGGAACTGGCAGCATCTCTTTCAGTTAGTTAATGTCTGCAGTTAGTGATAGGGGAGTGAGGCGTTCAGGTGACAGCAGAAGGTGGGAACTGGCAGCATCTCTTTCAGTTAGTTAATGTCTGCAGTTAGTGATAGGGGAGTGAGGCGTTCAGGTGACAGCAGAAGGTGGGAACTGGCAGCATCTCTTTCAGTTAGTTAATGTCTGCAGTTAGTGATAGGGGAGTGAGGCGTTCAGGTGACAGCAGAAGGTGGGAACTGGCAGCATCTCTTTCAGTTAGTTAATGTCTGCAGCTAGTGATAGGGAGTGAGGCGTTCAGGTGACAGCAGAAGGTGGGAACTGGCAGCATCTCTTTCAGTTAGTTAATGTCTGCAGTTAGTGATAGGGGAGTGAGGCGTTCAGGTGACAGCAGAAGGTGGGAACTGGCAGCATCTCTTTCAGTTAGTTAATGTCTGCAGTTAGTGATAGGGGAGTGAGGCGTTCAGGTGACAGCAGAAGGTGGGAACTGGCAGCATCTCTTTCAGTTAGTTAATGTCTGCAGTTAGTGATAGGGGAGTGAGGCGTTCAGGTGACAGCAGAAGGTGGGAACTGGCAGCATCTCTTTCAGTTAGTTAATGTCTGCAGTTAGTGATAGGAGTGAGGCGTTCAGGTGACAGCAGAAGGTGGGAACTGGCAGCATCTCTTTCAGTTAGTTAATGTCTGCAGTTAGTGATAGGGGAGTGAGGCGTTCAGGTGACAGCAGAAGGTGGGAACTGGCAGCATCTCTTTCAGTTAGTTAATGTCTGCAGTTAGTGATAGGGGAGTGAGGCGTTCAGGTGACAGCAGAAGGTGGGAACTGGCAGCATCTCTTTCAGTTAGTTAATGTCTGCAGTTAGTGATAGGGGAGTGAGGCGTTCAGGTGACAGCAGAAGGTGGGAACTGGCAGAATCTCTTTCAGTTAGTTAATGTCTGCAGTTAGTGATAGGGGAGTGAGGCGTTCAGGTGACAGCAGAAGGTGGGAACTGGCAGCATCTCTTTCAGTTAGTTAATGTCTGCAGTTAGTGATAGGGGAGTGAGGCGTTCAGGTGACAGCAGAAGGTGGGAACTGGCAGCATCTCTTTCAGTTAGTTAACGTCTGCAGTTAGTGAAAGGAGTGAGGCGTTCAGGTGACAGCAGAAGGTGGGAACTGGCAGCATCTCTTTCAGTTAGTTAATGTCTGCAGTTAGTGATAGGAGTGAGGCGTTCAGGTGACAGCAGAAGGTGGGAACTGGCAGCATCTCTTTCAGTTAGTTAACGTCTGCAGTTAGTGATAGGGGAGTGAGGCGTTCAGGTGACAGCAGAAGGTGGGAACTGGCAGCATCTCTTTCAGTTAGTTAACGTCTGCAGTTAGTGATAGGGGAGTGAGGCGTTCAGGTGACAGCAGAAGGTGGGAACTGGCAGCATCTCTTTCAGTTAGTTAACTGTCTGCAGTTAGTGATAGGGGAGTGAGGCGTTCAGGTGACAGCAGAAGGTGGGAACTGGCAGAATCTCTTTCAGTTAGTTAATGTCTGCAGTTAGTGATAGGGAGTGAGGCGTTCAGGTGACAGCAGAAGGTGGGAACTGGCAGCATCTCTTTCAGTTAGTTAATGTCTGCAGTTAGTGATAGGGGAGTGAGGCGTTCAGGTGACAGCAGAAGGTGGGAACTGGCAGAATCTCTTTCAGTTAGTTAATGTCTGCAGTTAGTGATAGGGGAGTGAGGCGTTCAGGTGACAGCAGAAGGTGGGAACTGGCAGCATCTCTTTCAGTTAGTTAATGTCTGCAGTTAGTGATAGGGGAGTGAGGCGTTCAGGTGACAGCAGAAGGTGGGAACTGGCAGAATCTCTTTCAGTTAGTTAATGTCTGCAGTTAGTGATAGGGAGTGAGGCGTTCAGGTGACAGCAGAAGGTGGGAACTGGCAGCATCTCTTTCAGTTAGTTAATGTCTGCAGTTAGTGATAGGGGAGTGAGGCGTTCAGGTGACAGCAGAAGGTGGGAACTGGCAGCATCTCTTTCAGTTAGTTAATGTCTGCAGTTAGTGATAGGGGAGTGAGGCGTTCAGGTGACAGCAGAAGGTGGGAACTGGCAGCATCTCTTTCAGTTAGTTAACTGTCTGCAGTTAGTGATAGGGAGTGAGGCGTTCAGGTGACAGCAGAAGGTGGGAACTGGCAGCATCTCTTTCAGTTAGTTAATGTCTGCAGTTAGTGATAGGGGAGTGAGGCGTTCAGGTGACAGCAGAAGGTGGGAACTGGCAGCATCTCTTTCAGTTAGTTAATGTCTGCAGTTAGTGATAGGGGAGTGAGGCGTTCAGGTGACAGCAGAAGGTGGGAACTGGCAGCATCTCTTTCAGTTAGTTAATGTCTGCAGTTAGTGATAGGGGAGTGAGGCGTTCAGGTGACAGCAGAAGGTGGGAACTGGCAGCATCTCTTTCAGTTAGTTAATGTCTGCAGTTAGTGATAGGGAGTGAGGCGTTCAGGTGACAGCAGAAGGTGGGAACTGGCAGCATCTCTTTCAGTTAGTTAATGTCTGCAGTTAGTGATAGGGGAGTGAGGCGTTCAGGTGACAGCAGAAGGTGGGAACTGGCAGCATCTCTTTCAGTTAGTTAATGTCTGCAGTTAGTGATAGGGGAGTGAGGCGTTCAGGTGACAGCAGAAGGTGGGAACTGGCAGCATCTCTTTCAGTTAGTTAATGTCTGCAGTTAGTGATAGGGGAGTGAGGCGTTCAGGTGACAGCAGAAGGTGGGAACTGGCAGCATCTCTTTCAGTTAGTTAATGTCTGCAGTTAGTGATAGGGGAGTGAGGCGTTCAGGTGACAGCAGAAGGTGGGAACTGGCAGATCTCTTTCAGTTAGTTAATGTCTGCAGTTAGTGATAGGGGAGTGAGGCGTTCAGGTGACAGCAGAAGGTGGGAACTGGCAGCATCTCTTTCAGTTAGTTAATGTCTGCAGTTAGTGATAGGGGAGTGAGGCGTTCAGGTGACAGCAGAAGGTGGGAACTGGCAGAATCTCTTTCAGTTAGTTAATGTCTGCAGTTAGTGATAGGGGAGTGAGGCGTTCAGGTGACAGCAGAAGGTGGGAACTGGCAGCATCTCTTTCAGTTAGTTAATGTCTGCAGTAGTGATAGGGGAGTGAGGCGTTCAGGTGACAGCAGAAGGTGGGAACTGGCAGCATCTCTTTCAGTTAGTTAATGTCTGCAGTTAGTGATAGGGGAGTGAGGCGTTCAGGTGACAGCAGGAGGTGGGAACTGGCAGCATCTCTTTCAGTTAGTTAATGTCCTGCAGTTAGTGATAGGGAGTGAGGCGTTCAGGTGACAGCAGGAGGTGGGAAACTGGCAGCATCTCTTTCAGTTAGTTAATGTCTGCAGTTAGTGATAGGGAGTGAGGCGTTCAGGTGACAGCAGGAGGTGGGAACTGGCAGCATCTATTTCAGTTAGTTAACGTCTGCAGTTAGTGGTAGGAGTGAGGCTTTCAGGTGACAGCAGGAGGTGGGAACTGGCAGCATCTCTTTCAGTTAGTTAATATCTGCAGTTAGTGATAGGGGAGTGAGGCGTTCAGGTGACAGCAGGAGGTGGGAACTGGCAGCATCCTCTGTGGTTCCTCCTAATGTAATTGTTGCTGTAGAACATGTTTCAGTGTGATGATGGTGCTCCATGACTCATTTGAACTGAAGGAGCATATTCTCTGAACTGTTGCTTTAACTCTGAACATGTGACTTCTCTGTATGAACGTGTTCTTCTCAGCTCGAGTAAACTGGTGAAATGACTCCAGAGTGAGTTCACTGACGTGTTTCTGAGATGATAGGAAACTCTGTTTACCTTATCTTCTGATTTCTCCTCAGGACTCCAGGCTGAAGGAGAACTCACCTCAACAGGTAAAGTGCTCAGTTTATTCACCCTGTTACTCTTTAAGTGATTCCAGCCTGTGAACAACCTTTATCATAAAACATGATGTATTTAAAGACTTCACCACTAACTGATCCTAGTTTCATCATTTATGATGTCATCATGTTTGTGAGACCAGGATATACTTCAGAGGTCAACAACAAACCATCATCACCTTTTCATCACCACCACTTTCATGATTATACTTTATAAATACCATCAGATCATCACATGTTACAGCCATGTTGGGGTTCTCCATCAGATCATCACATGTTACAACCATGTTGGGGTTCTCCATCAGATCATCACATGTTACAGCCATGTTTGGGTTCTCCATCAGATCATCACATGTTACAACCATGTTGGGGTTCTCCATCAGATCATCACATGTTACAGCCATGTTGGGGTTCTCCATCAGATCATCACATGTTACAGCCATGTTGGGGTTCTCCATCAGATCATCACATGTTACAACCATGTTGGGGTTCTCCATCACATCATCACATGTTACAGCCATGTTGGGGTTCTCCATCAGATCATCACATGTTACAACCATGTTGGGGTTCTCCATCAGATCATCACATGTTACAGCCATGTTGGGGTTCTACATCAGATCATCACATGTTACAGCCATGTTGGGGTTATCCATCAGATCATCACATGTTACAACCATGTTGGGGTTCTCCATCAGATCATCACATGTTACAGCCATGTTGGGGTTCTCCATCAGATCATCACATGTTTCCAACCATGTTGGGTTCCCCATCAGATCATCACATGTTACAACCATGTTGGGGTTCTCCATCAGATCATCACATGTTACAGCCATGTTGGGGTTCTCCATCAGATCATCACATGTTACAACCATGTTGGGGTTCTCCATCACATCATCACATGTTACAGCCATGTTGGTGTTCTCCATCAGATCATCACATGTTACAGCCATGTTGGTGTTCTCCATCACATCATCACATGTTACAGCCATGTTGGTGTTCTCCATCAGATCATCACATGTTACAGCCATGTTGGTGTTCTCCATCACATCATCACATGTTACAGCCATGTTGGTGTTCTCCATCACATCATCACATGTTACAGCCATGTTGGGGTTCCCCATCAGATCATCACATGTTACAGCCATGTTGGGGTTCTACATCACATCATCACATGTTACAACCATGTTGGGGTTCTCCATCACATCATCACATGTTACAGCCATGTTGGGGTTCTCCATCAGATCATCACATGTTACAACCATGTTGGGGTTCCCCATCAGATCATCACATGTTACAGCCATGTTGGGGTTATCCATCAGATCATCATGGTTCTCCATTCACCCCCTCGCAGTGCGGGTGCAGCGAGCCGTTTGGCTGATGTCACAACCCGGCTCCTGGGCTGCAACAGAAAGCTGGGAGGCGAGACGAGGGGTATGAATATAATAATAGTTTATTCATAATAAACAAGCAAGTAATGGAACCAGCAACAGGTCATTGAGGCTGGCACGGAGAGAGTGCCCACAGGAGTGAGAGAGACGTATCCTGCTGGGCTCTCTTCTTATAGGCCTTTTCGACCCAGGTGCAGCTCATCAGGTAAACACCGGCCCCACAGCACCGGATCCTGTAAACAGAGAGAGACCACGGAACGCCTAGTGGTGTGGAGGGGTCTTCACACAGAGCGGAGTGCACATGCTGGGGTGTATGGCTTAACCATGTTCTGGATGTAGGAAGGGCCAGATCCATTCGCAGCATGGTATGCAAGACCAGTGTCTTGAAGTGGATTCTAGCAGTTACTGGAAGCCAGTGAGGGGAGCGGACGAGCGGCGTGGTGTCAATCAATCAACAACTTTATTAATCCCACAATGGGCAATTGGTTATGAGCAGCAGCTTATGTCATGTACACAGGCAGGAACATACAAGGAAGAAAACACACAGATACACCCGGGAGCACAGATGTGGATCATTCCAATTTACACGATAAATAGTTCAAAGCATCACAATAATAAATAAATAAATAAATAATCAAGTTAAAAGCCTTTTCAAGAATTTAAAAGTTTGAGTGCAGAAGGGATGAATGATTTAGAAAAGCGATTAGTCCTTTGAGCAGGTAGAGCATATCTTCGCCCTGATGGCAACAGACGAAATTCATGTGAAAGAACATGACCTGGAGAGTTTAGAATGCTCTCTGCTTTCCGCAGAATCTGTTGGTTACAGAAGGAATTTAAGTCTCTCTGTTTCACGCCGATGATCTTGGAGCAGGTTTTAACAATGCTGTTCAGGCTGTTCCTGTCTTTCAGTGTAAGGCTATGGAACCAGCAGATAAAAGAAAAACAAATAAGGCTCTCAATAAATGCTTGGTAAAAACGACAAAGAATGAAAGGCCTGACAGAGAAAGAGTTCAGTTTGCGAAGAAGGTGCATTCTCTGTTGACCCCGCTTCACAATACACTCAGTATTCACATCAAATTTGAGGTAGTCATCGAAAATGGTGCCCAAGTATTTGTATGATGTGACAATTTCTACCTTGTCATTGTGTATGATGCACTCCTTAGGAACATCCTTGTGACGTCTAAAATCAATGATCAATTCCTGGGTTTTGGAGACATTTAAATCCTGAAAACTGTCATCACACCAGGAAATAAAATCGGTAAGAGCACACTCGTGGCCTGATTCTGAGCCGCTAAGGAGGGGCAAGAGGGTGGTGTCGTCAGAGAATTTAACCAGGTAGCTGTTGTCTTGCATGCTCCTGCATTTATCAGTGTACATTATAAAAAGTAGGGGCAAAAGAACGCATCCTTGAGGCGAGCCCGTGGAAGTGATGACAGAGTCAGAGAGGCGTCCGTTGACAGACACCTTCTGCTCTCTATTAGTTAGAAAGTTTAAAATCCATAAAACAAGTTGATCGGGCAGTTTAAAATGACATAATAGGCTCTCCACCAGGAGATGCGGCTGCATTGTGTTAAATGCTGAACAAAAGTCAGCAAACAAAAGCCTGGCATGGGCTTGTGTGTGGGAACATTTAGGAAGGTTGAAGACCAGAGGAGCCGCTGCATTATAGATGAGCTGCAGAGGTCGGATGGCACATGCAGGTAGACCAGCCAGGAGGGAGTTGCAGTAGTCTAGGCGTGAGATGACGAGAGCCTGGACCAGAACCTGCGTGGCTTTCTGGGTCAGCTGGGGACGTATCTTCCTGATGTTGTAAAGCGTGTATCTGCAGCAACGGGTTGTAGCAGCTATGTTGGATGGCACTTTGTTGGAGGCCTGAGTGTGGTCTGAAGCCAACCTCGGCTCCGCGGGTTCGTTTGGTGAGCTGGGTAAAATCATAAAGGAAGGAATTCAAAAACACCAGGATACAAGTTAAACAATAATCTGTTTTAATGATAAACAACAATACAATACACTTTAAAGGGGGCACCCCTTGCTCTGGTCCAGTGCCGGGAGAACCCATCATCTTGACGGCAGGAGGAAAAGAGAGCGAACACACAAACACAAATAGGAGATATGGAAGAACAACGGGGAGGAGTCGTGTTGGATTCTCCTCCCACAGAGCCCATCCATTGGGTGATATCAAAACGATGAGCTTTTTCGTAGCGAATCAGCGCGAGCCAGCCGAGGACCCGGAAACAAGAGTCTTTTAACATTTTAGGTAAAACAGACACATTTGGTGTCCGGCACGAACCTGCTCCGAATAACAAGTTTGTTATCTTGTGGCAGCCTCCACACACACACATTCTTCAGAGACTTCCCTCTTTCCGGCCCCCCTCCCCCATCAGTTCAATACACCCAGCTCCACACACCCTTGGCATTTTTAAGATATAGTTGTTTATAGTTGACTAATACAAGCAATACATATCAGTTACTTTAATATCACACACATATATTTAAGACCTGTATCGTTCCAGATACTGCGTTTAAATAAGAATGTCTCCTCCCCTACCTCTCTAGTCTTCTGTCATGAAAAAGCTGCTTCTATTTCATACAGAGTAATTAAGCATGTTTAAGCCAACCACTCCATAATGTTGTAGCAATTTAGTACCCACACATGAAAGAATAAAACAGAGAGAAATCAATAAAACACAAACACAGGCATTGTTCAGCAATGAATACATACATCTTATCCTGCAGTCCCTCATGAATGTCACATGTCTTTCTTTATGAAAGCCATATTTGTAAATGTTTAACCGTCATCGTCCCCTGACGGCCATATGATCAGCCAACTAACCAAAGTTAATTGTCCTTGTAGCCTAAGGCCATCGCTGAACTTCCTCTCACCTCTTTATGAGCCTTGCAGGAAATGAATAATTAACTAACAAGACTTTAACTGCATTATATCTGAGGAAAATCTCTCTTGGAGTTCCTCTGTTAATTGCCAAGACCATTGATGATTAACAAAGACACTTATGGGCCTCTCCTGATATCTGGAAACTGCAACAAGACAATATTTTACCTCAACATGCAGGTAGACCAGCCAGGAGGGAGTTGCAGTAGTCTAGGCGTGAGATGACGAGAGCCTGGACCAGAACCTGCGTTGCTTTCTGGGACAGGTGGAGACGTATCCTCCTGATGTTGTAAAGCGTGTATCTGCAGCAGCGGGTTGTAGCAGCGATGTTTGCAGTGAAGGGCAGGTTGTTATCTAGGGTCACACCCAGATTCCTTGCAGTGTGAGTCGAGGAAACAACAGAGGTGCTGATGTTGATTGTTAGGTCAAGAGTGGGACAATCTTTTCCCGGAAGAAAAAGCAGTTCAGTCTTGTCAAGGTCATTCAAACCTGTACGTACAGTACTTGTACTTTATCACTTCCCACCACTGGTTTATAGAGAGCTCCAGTTAATGATCTGATTATCACTCGGAAGTATTAATAGTATAAATGATTCATTATTAAAATATGCTAATATCAATGAAGGTGCACGACTCTCTTGTTTCTCTACAGAGCCTGGTGGTGTTAAGATGGTCGGAGGAAAGAGTCGCTGTGCAGGAGAACTGGAGGTGGAACATGAGGGAGAATGGAGACCAGTAGTGGGCTCTCTCTGGAACCCGAAGACAGGAGATTTTGTCTGCCGACAGCTCGACTGTGGCTCTGCTGTTTCTGTGGGAGAGAGATATGAGTCCTCAGACAGATCTGTGTGGGGGATAGGTCCTAGCTGTGTTCAGTCTGGATCTGCTCTGAGGAAGTGTGCAGCACCATCTTCCTCTAAATACATCCTGAATCTCACCTGCTCAGGTAAGCCCATCAGTGACATCATCAGTGACATAATCGATGACATTTTCCTTTATAGTTTTCATTTTCACAAACCCAAATAACAAGTGATGAACAGTGTATGAAGCAGCCGGGCGTTGTGGGTGGGCCTACTGGGTCTATAGGCCCACCCACTCATTCATCAAAAATGACTGAGAGAAAATATAGTCACAGCGCGGCGCAAACACAACGTAGGACGACCCCCAGACTCCGCAGATTAAGGAAGAAACTATAGCACTCATTTACAGAGTCACAAGAATCCATGTTCAGAGTTTTAAAAAGAGTGAGAGGGGAGAGGCCAGAGCCACCATCCTCACAGCAGGGGCCGTCTCACTCCACATTCTGCCTCTCTGCTTTCTGTGTCCCTAAAATGTATCAATGTAATGTGATCCAAAATAAATGAACAAGCAGTTTTACATTTCATTCCACTCCTTGCAGCCTGGAGCACGGCTGATATGAAGAGTCCTGAAACCCACCGGGTTATTTGGAGCCTCCTCCTCAGTGGCGGCTGGTGGAAAATATTTTTGGTGGGGCTATGGAAATAGGGACCAAACCATACTAAGGCGGTCCGGGGGGGGGGTGGGGGGGGGGGGAGGACAAATTGAGGCTTACAAATATGAGATAATCTATAATCTTCAGTGTGGTTAGCTATGAATCTTCCAAAACTGTGCAATAGTACAGTAGGCCCACACAAACTGCAGAACACTGGTGCTTTGGGAACACTCAATGATTTAATTCCCATTTAAAATCAGGAGACTAAATACGAACATTGTGTGTGTGTGTGTGTGTGTGTGTGTGTGTGTGTGTGTGTGTGTGTGTTTGTGTGTGTGTGTGTGTGTGTGTGTGTGTGTGTGTGTGTGTGTGTGTGTTTGTGTGTGTGTGTGTGTGTGTGTGTGTGTGGTGTGTGTCATACTTGCCAACCCTCCCGATTTTCGCGGGAGACTCCCGATTTCATTGCCCTCTCCCCGGTTTCCTCCCGGGGTCATATTTCTCCCGATTTCTGACAAAATCAGATTTACTCACGACTGTTTCCACTCGGACTTTAATACAGCTACACCGTTGTTTGGTTTCCATGGTAGCACGTCTCTTTAGCAGCGCGCGCAACTCAAAGTTTGAGAGGGTGAGGAAGATGAAAACTGAACAAGAATCGATAACTCCACCCTCTGCTCACTCCTTTCCTGTAGAATACAGGTCCAGCCCACACATATGCTCCATGGTGCTACAGGCATTGCCCTTACAACTACAATAAGCATGTAAATGTTAATCTACAGCTCTGGCGATTCACTAGCACTGAGACGCAGCCATCCTCGACAACTACTGTAGCGTCACCTTGGATACGAGTCCAAACAACTCACAGACACACAGGCCAGGGCGCTGACACGGCGCCCTTTGAGCATCAGATCTGATGACGCTGATTGGCTGAAATTATGTTTCAGCGGCATAGTTTACAGATAGCAACAGTCAGCTTGTTGGCTGCTGCTGCTCTGGCTGAGGGCTCCTTTCTACCGCCCGGACGAGAGAGGGTAATGATGCACGCTGCGGCCAGGCAGAAAACATGTGACTTATCAGTAACTTTAGACATCGTCAAACAATTTTAAACGAGATTTTATTGTAGATTATACATTTTACTGATACCAATTATATAATATTTACCTTGTTCATTGAAAAATGTTTTTTTTTTTTAAATATCTTTTTTACATTTTTTTTTTTTTTGAATTGCCTTGTGTTGAAAAGTGCTATATAAATAAACTTGCCTTGCCTTGCCTTAAAGACTGGATAAAGCGCTATATAAGTACAGTCCATTTACCATTTACCATTTATATTAGACGTTAAGTACTTTGTCAAGCTTAATATGTATCTGTTGATACCCCCAAATATTTTGTTATTTAAAAGAAGACCTTAATCTGAAGTATTATTTAATGTTTAAATAAAGGTTAATTCGTTTTTCTGTTTTGCACCTCCTCATATTAATATCTTTGTACATCCTGCACTAAACTGTTTTATTGTAGAGATCACTTATAGTATCTTCTTGATTTTTTATATTCTATATTTCTATCATTGACCTTCTACTTTCCCCCTCTGAAAGTATGTACTCTTAATGTTTTTTTTCATCAAATATAACACATAAAAACAATAATTCAATAACGTGCCTTAACCACTAGGCGGTGCACACAAGGTACACACAGCCATAATAACTTTGTATTATTAGTGTAGGACACTTATGTATGTACAACATCTGAAGATGTGTAGTTTTATACATGTTTTCACATAATTTTACAGCATATTGCTATAATATTTCAGACTCAGTATTTACATTCTTATATTCAAAGAAAATCAGTAATACCTTTAAAAACTACAGTCCTTTTATATCAGCTGTGCACCGTTATGGTGTAAATATAACCTATCTACGAATTAGATCAAATGTAAAAGTCAGCCGAATTAGTGTTGATACTGCAAGGAGACGTATTGTGTGAAGAGAAATTGAAGATGTTGTTTAATTGCTGATATATTTATGATCCACGTCAAGTATTCAGTTTCGGCAGCATTTCTTCCAGTTTTTCCAAAGGTCTTCTCATCAGGGCTCTATAAATAAAGAACTACGGCAGATGTGTAATATGTAATGCAGCCGAACTGTGTATTACAATGCCGTTATGTGATGACTTTCAAAGAGAAAAGCAAGAACACTCGGAATAAAGTATTATTTTATTTAAAAAAATAAAATAATTCGGATTTCATATCGCATAAACACCATATGTGTACCTACGTGCATTGCAGCTAAGCAATCCAATCAGTGAGCTTAAACCATAGCTGAGGATCTTGGGTAATCAGTTCAGTAGCTGTGTATCACAATGATGCTCGAATGTCCCGTATAGGCCTACGTCTGTTTCCGGTTATTTTTATTTTGAAATCCAGTTCCTGACGGACGCCAAAAAAGCCAGAGATTATGGAATTAAACAAATAAATAAAAACAAGGATAATTGTGTGTTATTGGTGAGTAAATAACATGTGTTATTTAGAAAATAATAACAAATTAGAAGGAAAAAAATATTTAAAAAAATACAGATTTCAGTATTTTGAGGCTCTGAGACATTTATTTTCCTCACAGACGACAACAAAAGTCCGACATTATACGATTTAAAAATAAAAACAATAATCGTGGCTTGATATTGAGTAAGAACATGTTTTACGGACCCCACAGCTTCCGGTCTTCCAAGACCCGAACGGACAAAAAGACGTGCTGCAGGCCCGAAACATACTACCAATAGAAATACATTGCTTTTAAAATCGTTCTGTGTGACACGAAAAAAAGGGGAAAATCGTGTTGGTGAACACTGTTAGAGATTTAAAGGGATATCTGGTCCGCTTTTCAAATCTCCGCGCGTCCCTATCAAGCTGGTTAATACAGGAAGGAATCCAGAGCTACCAAGTAACCGTTAATCTACTGTAATGGTAATATGACAATGCAATACAATCAATACAGTACAAATTCAATACAATTAATCTTTGAGATCGCGAATTTACCTGCACGTGAGCCAGCCAGAGGAAAGAGGCTGAACACCGCGTGTGTGTCTGTGTTTATACTCTTTGACAATGGGAGGAGTTATCAGATCCTCCCATTTGGACCTCCTTGATTGGCAGCCCCAAATATCCCTAACACCTTAGACCTTAGGTTTCCCCAATCACTGTAGCTAGATCTAAGTTGAATGCAACTCAAGACATGCTCTCACCTTCCCCCATCTTCCTTTGTCCTCAAAAACACATGTCAACAGGCCCCAAATCCAGATCACAGTTTTACCCAAATTATTCCCATTTTAAGCTTATCCATAGTTTGCTAACATGAATAAATACAAATATTTCACTACAACACGAATCAATAAATGTCATGTCGTGACTATAACACGAAATGCCGTAAGACTGGGTTGTATAAAGATGTGTTTTGTTGTTCATCATCAACTCATGTTGGAACTGAGTCCAGTTTGAATCTGAAATATAGTTTCATCTCTTTGATGGTGTGTCTTTGACCTCTGTTTGATCTTCTGTCCTCTGCAGACTCTGTCAGGCTGCTGGGGGGGACTGGTCTGTGCTCAGGCAGACTGGAGGTGAACTCTGACCCGTCTGACCCGTCCTGGTCCTCAGTGTGTGAGGCTGACTTTGACCAGCAGGATGCTCAGGTGGTCTGCCGGCAGCTGGGCTGTGGGGCTCCTTCAGTCCTCCAGAGGGCGCTCTATGGAGAAGGGGAGACTCCAATGGGGACCAAAGAGTTCCAGTGTGGAGGCCATGAGTCTGCTCTCCTGGACTGTAGCTCAGCATCAGAGAGAAGCACCTGCTCACCTGGCACAGCTGTTAGCCTCACCTGCTCAGGTAGAGAAGAGCTGTGATTGGTTAATTCTGTTCTCATCAAACTCACTTTATTCTCTCTCTGATCTCTCTCTTGTTTCTCTCCAGAGCCGGTCAGACTGGTGGGAGGAGAGAGTCGCTGTGCAGGAGACCTGGAGGTGAAATATCGGGGAGAATGGATACCAGTGGAGGGATATTACTCTCGCTGGACCCCGAAGACAGCAGGAGTCGCCTGCAGAGAGCTCGACTGTGGCTCTGCTTTTTCTGTGGGACGGAGAGAGGAGTCCTCAGAGAGTTCTGTGTGGGAGATCAGCTCTGAATGTGTTCAGTCTGGATCTGCTCTGAGGGAGTGTGCAGCATTACGTTCCTCCCAAAACATCCTGAATCTCACCTGCTCAGGTAAGATTATCTTTGACATCATCAGTGATATCATCAGTGACATCATCTAAATCGTTTGAAACAACCACAGTTCATGGGGGGTTAACCCAGATTACAAAGTGGAACAAATCCAGACATGATATGAACGTCACTGAACATTCATCTGGTAGCAGTGTGACGTCTCATTTAGTATCCATCACAATCTGTATGAAAATCCGTTTGATATTCATGTGGCGGAAGCTGTGTTTGTTTATCACGGGTAATCGGGTGTAATCAATACGTATACAAGGTTTAGAATCAGAACATACGTAATATTTAATATGAGAGAGACTTTATATTTAACATCCTTTATTTAGGCCACAGTGCTTACAATTTCAACTCACAGCTAAATGTATGTTTCTATGTGAATATGGATCAGTGCACGGTATTCTCAGGAGCAGCTGGTGTTAGGAGAGGTTAGCTGAATGCTGGAGCAGCTGGAGCAGCGTGACACTCCAGATGTGTGGGGTCAGATCTGTCTCAAAAGAAAGGAATGCTCACAGAAGGATTCACAAATGTGATTCTGGATTTATATACACATGTCTCCATCCACACAAATATGATTCAACGTACACAGACATACTTAGCGGTTTGTATAAATGTAAACAAGTTTCACAAATATATTTCTGATCCAAACACAAATAGTTATTGTTTTAAATAAAAGCAATATAAATCCACAAATATATGAATTTAAAAGTGTTAAATCTTTTGCATCAAAAACACATTTGAATGTTGTTAAATGTATACAAAAAAAACGCTTTTTGTGTGTGACTCCCTCTGCATTTGTAGTGCATTACAGAGGGCAGGGTGTCATTGATATGCAGGTGCAGGGGCGGATCTACAGGGACTTGCCACCCCAGCTGCCCCCCTAACTTTTGTGTCCCTAAAACTGTACTAGAAACAAACCTACACTATGTCCACAAGCTTCTCAAGCAACGAAACTTCTATACAAGGTTTCTATAACAAAAAAAGGCTACTATAACAAAAAAACATAAATATTTTAGATCAAATAAAGTATATCTAATCTTATTATCTTAATTGTAATTCAATAATATATAGTCTTTATATATTAAATAATCATAATAATAATGTAAATGTTTACACTTCTTTATCATTTATGCTCATAATTGTACCTTTACAAAAGTTTGCTTTAATATGCAGTATATTTGTTGTAATATTGTTGTGGTGTACACAGTACAGTAGATCGAAGTAAATCATCTCATACATTATCACGTATTATACAGTAATGTATTGTATTATTAAGTAATATCATACATTAAGCCCATTATAGCAGATGCCACATTGAATACATCAACACATTTATGCATCAATAATTACAACAGAGTATTTCTAAATATAAGTTGTAAAAATACTTATATGTATTTAATACTAATAACATAATGATTCATTTTACTGTCAGATGATAATACTTTTCACTTGGGCTAGTGACAATTTTGAATGCAGGACATTTGCTTCTAACACGTCTTTTTACCTAGGTAAATAATTGGAATACTTCTTCCACCTCTGATTTGAACCTGTCACTGTTTTTAAAACTTGAATTAAATGTTTGATATTTCCAGAGACCCTTTCAGACCGGCAATGCTGCCCTGCATGTAATTCCGATTGTCCATCGGAATGTCACAAAAGTCAAAAGTCTCCCATCCCCCTTGGGAGACTTTCTCCATACATTCCGATCACATTTAATTATTTTAAACAAAGAGAGTCCGCAACATAGGCTACTATCTCTTCTTAACAGAGGGGGGAAGGTAGAGCTTTGTCACACCGATGATGGCCGACAGACCCTCCCGTATTGCTTTCAACCCACCACACCATCTTTTATGGAGAAAACAAGTCATATAATAATTAACCAGAGGCATGTGTCTCACTATTGTATGTATAGAAACAACAGGCTACTGTGTGTGTGAGGAATCAGCTGTTTATTTCATATGACTTTCATTGTGGCAGCGTCCATCACGGCTCTCCCTGGTGGATCCATTAACCATTGCAGCTGGTTGCAATACACAAAGACAGCTAACTGGGTAACAGTATGTTCCCTGACAGTAGTTGACTTCTCACCTTGTCACTCAGAGGGGGGTGGGGCCTGGTGAACGGTATGGTCAATGTTTGTAAACACTGTGAAATGTTGACTTTATTTGATCATTTCAGTAAATACTAACGTTCATATTTTCGCAGCCTGGCTGGGAGTTTGTGTGTGTGCCCAGGCTGAGTTCCGCGGTGTCTCGCTGTCTCGCCGACCCCACACCAGTGAGCCAGCTCACAGTGTCCCGCTCCTCGCAGCAGCGAGCCTCGCTATGTCCCGCCGAGTGTGTGTGTGTGAGGAAGTCCGCGGATTGGTCCAAACGTAACGGCTCCGCGGACGTAACGTAAAGGCTGCGCAGATTGGTCCATTTGGACCAATCTGCGGAGCCGTTACGCTACGTTATGTCACTATACCCGAAATACGTCACTATACCCAAGAAGTAAAGAATGGAAAAAGAGAAATCTCCAACGAGACGTTCTGGGGCAGCATAGACAGGTCTTCTCTGTGTTAGAGTTTTACTCAGGGTGTGACTCTGCAGACCGTTTACATGCATACAAAGCTACATAACACACAAGGGGATGGGTAATAACCAGAAAAGCATGACATGTGACCTTTAAAATGATAAAGACGCTGCTGAAGGTTAATCCATATAGGTTAATCCAATGTGTCACTTTGAAATTATTTCTGATAATCCATCAGCAATAAACCTAGTTTTCAGTTTTCAGATTTCAGAGCGTAAGATTCGCTTTGGGCAAACCTGTGCGCATAGCTTTCACTTCTCAATGGTAGTGTGTGTGTAAGTGGAAGCTTCCCTTCGATTATATCGCTCTGACGGTTCAAAATAGATGTCAATCATCAAAATCGACCAATGGGTTCCAGAGAAATGGCAAATTCACCCACATCCACCCAAATGACCCCAGTGGTGTTTTTTTGTTGTTGCTAAATCTCTCTAAAAAGGTCAAATGTCACTTGTTTTGCATCAATCTTGATACAGGGTACTTATTATATGTTATCGTTTGGATTTCTAAAGCTTTTAGTCTACTATCCCATCATTCAAGGGTGGTTTTCACTATAAGTAATGTTTTTTTTTTGGACGGACACTATAATTTACATTTTTGTAATGTTCAATCTGAATTTACTTTAAAATTAAAGAATATCTATATTGATTCTGACTTATCTGCAACCAACTCACAGGTTTATCATTGCTTTGAGAAAAAAGATTATTAATTTACCCCTTTTAGAAGAGAAGATATGGTCATTTGTTCTGGAAATGTCATTTTCGAGCCTTGGCCTGAACAACAGGCCCAGGGCTTAACAGGTTAAATGATTGTGGAACATAGCCTGATAATAAAGACATATTCATAATATTTAATAAAGAAGTGCTTATTAATGGAAAAACTTCCTTCAACAGCTTAGTTGGAATTGGGTCTAAGATACACGTTGATGGTTTAGAAGAGAGAATCATTGAATTGAATTGTTCAAGATTTATGGCTGAAAAGCATTCTAGTTTACTATCTAGTGCAGGCATCCTCAAACTACGGACTCCGGTCCGGATCCGGACCGAACCACCACTGTCTCCGGACTCTGAGCAAATTATACTTTTCATATGTATTATCTCTCTGTATTATATGTGAGACATCGCCACAACGCATTCGCAACGAGTCAAAATTCTCCGCTATGTCCACTGCAAACAGCGCTCTGCATGTCTGACTGTTCCACTGTGTTCCACCTGTGTGTGTCAACGCTTTGGTCCAATCACATTCAGCATCCAGTCAGCGTTTTTTCCCCCCAAACAATCTGCGAATCAGAGGCACAGTAGGGCGGGTCTTCGCGGAATGCGGGTGGGGAAAATGTGTGTGTCTCTTTCAACCTGTCTAAGTCAGAGCGAGAATTAAAACAAAAACAAAAAAAAAATTCAGAGCGAGAGTTAACAGCTCATCTAGTTCCATCTGTACTGTAGCTAGTAGCCTAGTTTCACCTACCGGGGTGGCAACTGACACCCTAAAAATAGGCCTTGCCACCTCAGCTGCCACCCCAGTTGGCAGCTTTGTTTTGAAAGAAAAGTTGTGGACATTTATGAGAGAAAGTCTCTAATGTCCGAGTGCAAGTGAATGCAGCACAAGATGCACGTCATGTAACCCCTCCCCCGGTCCTGGCGCGAGCGTGGACATACGATTTGGCGACGATTTCATTTTTAACTGGACGGCGCAAAACGAGAAGCATTCGGACCCAAGCACTGAAGGAATGAGGTATTTGCGGTCTACACTGACAGAGAAGAGACTGTCAGTGTGGCTGTACTCAGCATTGAATCAAAACGCACTGAAGCTGTTGATCTTAATACGTTTGTGAGGCGTTTCGCTGAACAACATGGTAATCGCCGCATTCAGCTGTAATAGACATGTCAACTTGATGCTCTGCTCACGGATGAGCATACACAACTATTAAGATGATGACCTTACGTGTGTAAATATATTGTTTTCTTTGAGGGGGTCTGCCCCCAAAAAACAGTTTTAAGTCCTGAGAAAGTCAAATAAGACGGTGTGTAAAACTACACTGCCCAGCCAAAAAAAAGTAACCACTTTGATTGAACTAGGCCAGTAGGTAAGGACTTTCCACTGGATAATAACTGAGTATAAAAGAATGCATGACTGAAGTGATGGAGACCATGTTGAAGGCAAACAAAAAGAGGAAATAACAGGTCAAATCAAGCAAATCCCCCTCTCAGATTCCACAGCAACCAGAAGAACATAAATACTGGCTGGTGATTTGATTCATCAGCTTTGTGATGGAATAAAAAATGCACAGTGCATTTCCTTAGCTGTGGGTGAGTCCACTGACACCACTGACAATGCTCAGTTGCTGGTGTTTGAGAGTTTTTATGATGAGGCAAAGGGGGAGTTTGTTGAAGATGTGTTGGGCCTGACGAACCTCAGTGGACACACAAGGGGGAATACATTTATAAAGCAATAATGGGAATGCTGAATGAAAGAGGGTGCAGCTGCCTTTATTCATAACTGTGCAGCTCTGCGACTCTGAGGGGTCAAGCACAGACACAATAACAATGAAAACTGCTGCATACAGATTATTTTTGTTTTTGCAACCTCGTGTTAAGAATCTTGTTGCAATTGTTTAAAAGTTTGAATGACCGTAATAAACGGACCTTTGTCTTATTGAAACATTTATTTTGGACCTTTAAGATTTGTATTTGAGTACCCCTGATCTAGTGTAATATTAGAACTTACATTTCCGGGAGCTGTTGATAACACTATAATGGTCAAAGGCAAGAGGTCATTAATTTTGTTTCTAAGAGTAAAAATGTTATCGTTAAAAAAGCACATAAAATCATTGCTACAGAGTGCTATGGGAATAGAAGGCTCAATCGAGCTGTGGCTCTCTGTCAGCCTGGCTACAGTGCTGAAAAGAAATCTTGCATTATTCTTATTCTCATCTATTAATGAAGAGTAGTAGGCTGCTCTTGCTTTACGCAGTGCTTTCTTATATTCATTGAGAGTAATATGCCAAATTAAACGAGATTCTTCAAGTTTAGTGGAACGCCATATCCTTTCAAGTTGTCTCGACTTTTGCTTTATTTTGCGGGTTTCGGCATTATGCCATGGAGCTAGTCTATGTTGTTTTATTTTCTTCTTTTTCAAAGGAGCAACAGAGTCTAATTTTATTTGCAGCGCATCTGTAGCACTATCAACAACATGATCAATTTGGGGTGGTGTACATTTTGTATAAGTTTCCTCCCTTACATGCAGACATGCTATCGAGTTAAGTATTGGTGGAATCTCTTCCTTAAATTTGGCTATAGCACTAACAGATAGGTTTCTGCTGCAGGAGCTTTTGACTAATGCTTTGTAGTCTAGTAACAGTACTTCAAAAGTTACTAAGAAATGGTCGGATAAAGCAGGATTATGCGGTTCGACTAATAGTTGCTCAATTTCAATACCATAAGTCAGAACAAGGTCGAGAGTGTAATTATAGCAGTGGGTTGGTTTATTTACACTCTGAGGAAAACCAACAGAATCTAATATAGAGTTAAATGCAACAGTAAGGCTATTTTTATCATCGTCAACATGAATATTAAAGTCACCTACGATAACTACTTTATCTGTTTTAAGAACCAAAGTTGATAAAAACTCAGAGAATTCTGATAAGAATTCTGAATAAGGACCTGGTGCACGGTACACTGTAACAAATAAGATTGGCTGCAAAGTTTTCCAGGTCGGATGAGTAACACTAAAAACAAGGCTTTCAAAGGAGGTATAATTTAATTTTGGCATAAATGTTATGATGAATTATCAGTAATCATTTCAAAGTGACACAGAGACATTGGATTAACCTTCTGCAGCGTTTATGCGTTTTAATGCCCTTGAAAACAGCAAAGGTAAGACGTTGAAAAGGAATCTAACTTCGATACAACCAATGTTAATATCTAGGCCGTCTCCGATACCGAACTCCGGTGCTGATAGGACTCCGGTGAACGGCCGTCCAATCTTCTTAGGACTAAACCCCCCAGAATCTACATGCAAGATCACCGTAATCTGAATAGGGGGGCGTTTACAGCGTGGCCTCTAACACCACGCTGCCCGTCGTATCACTTATTTCAGGCACTTCAGCCACGGATGTCCGACCACCAGGATAGCAAAACGGTGTGTATGGTGTAGTAGGTGTTGGTTGGCTGGTAGAACCCCAGAGCAGTATCTAAACTGCCCCTGGAGGAGAATCCCTCTGTTAATGGGAGACTCCCTGGTAATTAGGGCAGCTTCAGAACCCACAGTCCCTAACCCCACCCTCTCTTGATCCCCAAATATATCAATCAAAACAATGCAAATGTAATATCAAACACAGCCAGAGTCAAAGATCAATGTCACAGCAGTGATATTACCACATCAGCAGAGCATATGTCATATTTCAACATTAATCAAAACCACCTCAACCACAAAGTTGAAACGACTTCAACTGTTATTAGTGCAATGTGAAAATAAAGTTTAACCTTAGCAGAGTTTATATTCCCCTTAAACAATTTAAAATCCAAATTATCAACTAATGTCAGCTTTTTCCAAGGAAGGGTGTTCTTACCTCACTCTAAGACCAAGCAGATACATTCAGAGACCACGAGAGAGACCAGGAGTTGGGTCGAAATGTACAAAGTACAAACCGGTTTTATTAAGATTTTAACAAAAATTGAGGATTAAAAGAATCCTTAAAAAATAACAAAGACACCAAGTCAAAATACAAAAGCAACAGGTACACAAGTCAAATCTCTTAAAGCGGTCTAAAAGAGCCCAAGCCCAGGCCCAGGGCCCAGGGCTTGGGCCTCAGAAGACTTCCCCCAAGCTCTCAAGCCCCCAAGCCTCCAAGACTCAAAAAGCCTCAAAAGCCTAAAAATCCCCCGTTTCTTCTTCTCCATTCTTCTTTATAGTCTTCCTCCTCCTCCCTCTCTTCATCATGGGTCATCCCCCTTCCTCTCTTTGAGTCAGAAGGAGGTAACAAAAGTTGGTCTTTTAATTATTGAACATTAAAAAATGTATGGTTTAAAAATACAACAAATAAAGACTTATAGTAATGATATGTAATTTTAAAGAGGGAACATGAACATTTTTCATGAAAGCAGAACACATTGTCAATGTCATGTGTTAGAATCAAGTTTTTTCTTTAAACGTTTCAATTTCAAATATACAAACTTTATACTTGAATTCATTAACAGAGACTTAATTTATTAACAGAGACAATAGGGACAGCTTGTCTCTGTTAATAAATGATACGTTCAGAATGTTCCATCTAGTTTCACACGTCTGAAAAGACATGATGGAAACATACATCCTTTCCATTCACAGCCAATTTAGCATATTGTTATCAATGGTAAGCTTAATAGAGGTAGGTGAGGTAAAGGTCAGGTCTGACACGGCCACCTACACAGCTGAACTGTCAACAACGTATTTGCCGTTTTGGACCCGTAAAGTGAAGTTGTGTGTTGTCTTTGCTGGCTTTCGCCGCTGTGAGTTTTGGTCGCACAGTGATGATACTTATACTTCTGGAATCTGTGGAATATCAACTTTCATATGATATCTAGTTTGTGCAGAATGCATGAAGTATAAAATATTGCTACCGTGAGTTATGTGCTAAGTGCGTTAGCACTCTTTCGCTTAGGGCTAATTGAGACGCTTGGCGTTAGACTTGTGTTTCGTTTCGAAAATGGATCATATCTTCAGTTAGCTGAGTTTCTTCCCGTTAAGTAAGTATGACACATTGATAGGTTGTTAAATGTTAAGAAGTCCTGAGACACAGTTTCGCTGGCGGGGGCAATCGGGATTAACAGGTTAAGAATATTTGTGTTAAGCCATGATTTAACAATGAATAGGTTATATATACAGTATAAAATACCCCTAACCCCACCCTCTCTTGATCCCCGAATATATCAATCAAAACAATGCAAATGTAATATCAAACACAGCCAGAGTCAAAGATCAATGTCACAGCAATGATATTACCACATCAGCAGAGCATATGTCATATTTCAACATTAATCAAAACCACCTCAACCACAAAGTTGAAACGACTTCAACTGTTATTAGTGCAATGTGAAAATAAGGTTTAACCTTAGCAGAGTTTATATTCCACTTAAACAACTGTTGGCCCTCCCATGCCACCATGACTTCTTGCCCTCCCTTTGCCCCCCCATGTAACATGTTCTAGACCCCCCACTGTGCAGGTGTGAGGTGAGACAGGTAACACGCTGCTGCTGCTCTGGCAGTGATAACTGGGAGCCTCTTATTAGGAATAGAACAGCGAACATGTCTGCAAACACTAACTCTGTCAGAAGTCTGCAGCTGTTAAAGCCACTGACAGCCGATCCAGCAGCGATCAGGAATCACACACGGAAGTCCTTTAAAATCACACTCCGAGGAAAGGACGTCTCATTGCTCTGAAAACACAATGCCTTACTCCCTCCCTCTTCGTGTGGAGGAAAAGGGAATTTTGCCCTTGTGTCTTTGACCTCTGTTTGATCTTCTGTCCTCTGCAGACTCTGTCAGGCTGCTGGGGGGGACTGCTCTGTGCTCAGGCAGACTGGAGGTGAACTCTGACCCGTCTGACCCGTCCTGGTCCTCAGTGTGTGAGGCTGACTTTGACCAGCAGGATGCTCAGGTGGTCTGCAGGCAGCTGGGCTGTGGGGCTCCTTCAGTCCTCCAGGGGGCGCTCTATGGAGAAGGGGAGGCTCCAATGGGGACCAAAGAGTTCCAGTGTGGAGGCCATGAGTCTGCTCTCCTGGACTGTAGCTCAGCCTCAGAGAGAAACACCTGCTCACCTGGCACAGCTGTTAGCCTCACCTGCTCAGGTAGAGAGGAGCTGTGATTGGTTCATTCTGTTCTCATCAAACTCACTGTATTCTCTCTCTGATCTCTCTCTTGTTTCTCTGCAGAGCCTGGTGGTGTTCAGCTGGTGGGAGGAGAGAGTCGCTGTGCAGGAGACCTTGAGCTGAAACATCAGGGAGAATGGAGACCAGTGGAGGGCTACCCTCTCTGGACCCTGAAGACAGCAGATCCTGTCTGCAGAGAGCTCGACTGTGGCTCTGCTTTTTCTGTACGGAGAGAGGAGTCCTCAGAGAGATCTGTGTGGTGGATCAGTCCTGCCTGTGTTGAGTCTGGATCTGCTCTGAGGGAGTGTGCAGCATCATATTCCTCTCTCTCCTTCCTGAATCTCATCTGCTCAGGTAAGCCCATCAGTGATATTGTGTATGACATCATGTGTCTCTTTGTTAGTCAGTCTCTCTCTCTCACAAAGAGACTATCCCTCTCTGCTACCTGGACCGTCACAGACTGAGAGCTGGTTGTAATGTTTCAAAGCGGTGTCTTCAGACTGAGGAGGTTTCCTCAGAGACTGTTTGTATTGTTGCTGCTGGGGCAGGCAAACATGTGGATCTCCAGAAGCAGGAGCAACAAAGTAAACAGTACAGCAGGTCAGCAACTCACTAACATGAGTTTCTCTTGGTGAAAGCAAGAGTGAGTTAGATTTTAGATTTCACTTTCTGATGAGAAACATGGAGGAGCTTTTAAACCGTTAGTGTTTCACTGCATCTGTGTGCTCTGTGGTGGAGGGAGAGCTTGCTTTGAACTCTGTCTCTATGAGAAGAGATCGCATTCAGAAATCCAAAGACAGAAATTATCTCTCTCAAAGTCGAGCTAAATAAGATCATTGTTGTTGTAAAGTCTTTAAAAAGTCTCTCTCTCTCTCTCTCTCTCTCTCTCTCTCTCTCTCTCTCTCTCTCTCTCTCTCTCCAGATAAGCTGTTTCAGCCCAACATCACTGTGTCCTCCTCCATGTACGGGGTCTCCGGGGCCAAGCAGCAGGGGTTCCAGGTGTTCAGAGGCTCCTCCTTCACCATCAGCTGCTCCATCCAGCCTCAGTACCCAGGAGGCTCCTTCCAGCTCAACTTCACCTCCATCAACTCAGCAAGCAACTACTACTCAGAGACAGCTGTCAATCACTCTGCCCACTTCCTGTTCCCGGCTGCAGAGCCCGCCCACCAGGGAAGCTACAGCTGTGTTTATCACGTCTCTGCTTTTTCTCAGGACTTCTCCTCTGAGAGCCGTCTGCTCTCCGTCACCGTCACAGGTGAGCTGTTAGAGTTTACTGTAGGACAGAGCGTGATGCTCCCCAGCAGAACGCTGGTGAGTGTTTTACTGTGAGCCCTGAAGCAGTCACACCCTTACATCACATGTAGCTTTCCAGAGCAACGTACAATAAGTGCAATGAACCGTGAAGACATGAATCCAGAACACACATTCTCCAGTCAGCTGTAGTTTACATTGGAGTATTTCCATGAGTACTGACTGTTCAACAGATACAGCTAGCAGCTTCTCCCTACAGTCCTACTGTCTGGTATGAACAGGAGAAAGGGTTGGGGTTGTGAAATGTAGTGTATTGTAATGTATACTGTAGAGAGGAGTCTCCATGCTGAAGTGGGTTCAGGTCTCTGGTGTGTTTGCTGACTCTTTGATGTTATGCTGTCCAGGTGTTCGATCGATCCAGAACCTTTTTATCATCCGAGCCGTCGTCCTTGCTGCCTGACTCTGCTGCTGGTGACCATCGGACTTTTACTTATACTGCAAGGTACGGAAAACATGTTGTTGTGTTCCACTGACTGAATGATGGGTACTGAAACCTGTTGTTGTTCCACCTGACTGAATGATGAGGGACTGAAACATGTTGTTGTTCCACTGACTGAATGATGAGGGACTGAAACATGTTGTTGTTCCACTGACTGAATGATGAGGGACTGAAACATGTTGTTGTTCCACTGACTGAATGATGAGGGACTGAAACATGTTGTTGTTCCACTGACTGAATGATGAGGGACTGAAACATGTTGTTGTTCCACTGACTGAATGATGAGGGACTGAAACATGTTGTTGTTCCACTGACTGAATGATGAGGGACTGAAACATGTTGTTGTTCCACTGACTGAATGATGAGGGACTGAAACATGTTGTTGTTCCACTGACTGAATGATGAGGTACTGAAACATGTTGTTGTTCCACTGACTGAATGATGAGGGACTGAAACATGTTGTTGTTCCACTGACTGAATGATGAGGGACTGAAACATGTTGTTGTTCCACTGACTGAATGATGAGGGACTGAAACATGTTGTTGTTCCACTGACTGAATGATGAGGGACTGAAACATGTTGTGTTCCATGAATGAATGATGATGGGAATTGTGTTCCACTGACTGAATGATGAGGGACTGAAACATGTTGTTGTTGTTGTTCCACTGACTGAATGATGAGGCACTGAAACATGTTTGTTGTTCCACTGACTGAATGATGAGGGACGAAACATGTTGTTGTTCCACTGACTGAATGATGAGGGACTGAAACATGTTGTTGTTCCACTGACTGAATGATGAGGGACTGAAACATGTTGTTGTTCCACTGACTGAATGATGAGGGACTGAAACATGTTGATGTTCCACTGACTGAATGATGAGGCACTGAAACATGTTGTTGTTGTTCCACTGACTGAATGATGAGGACTGAAACATGTTGTTGTTCCACTGACTGAATGATGAGGGACTGAAAACATGTTGTTGTTCCACTGACTGAATGATGAGGTACTGAAACATGTTGTTGTTCCACTGACTGAATGATTGAGGGACTGAAACATGTTGTTGTTTCCACTGACTAATGATGAGGTACTGAAACATGTTGTTGTTCCACTGACTGAATGATGAGGACTGGAAACATGTTGTTGTTCCACTGACTGAATGATGAGGTTACTGAAACATGTTGTTGTGGTTCCACTGACTGAATGATGCGGGGTACTGAACATGTTGTTGTTTCCACTGACTGAATGATGAGGGACTGAAACCTGTTGTTCGTTCCACTGACCTGAATGATGAGGTACTTGAAACATGTTGTGTTGTTCCACTGACTGAATGATGAGGTGGTACTGAAACATGTTTTTGTTCCACTGACTGAATGATGAGGCACTGAACATGTGTTGTTCCACTGACTGAATGATGAGGTACTGAAACATGTGGTTGTTCCACTGACTGAATGATGAAGGTCACTGAAACATGTTGTTCCATGACTGAATGATGAGGCGACGAAACAGTTGTTGTTCCCACTGACTGAATGATGAGGGACTGAAACATGTTGTTGTTCCACTGATCTGAATGATGAGGTACTGAAACATGTTGTTGTTCCACTGACTGGAATGATGAGGGACTGAAACATGTTGTTGTTCCACTGACTGAATGATGAGGGACTGAAAACATGTTGTTGTCCACTGACTGAATGATGAGGTACTGAAACATGTTGTTGTTCCACTGACTGAATGATGAGGGACTGAAACATGTGTTGTTCCACTTACTGAATGATGAGGTACTGAAACATGTTGTTGTTCCACTTACTGAATGATGAGATACTGAAACATGTTGTTGTTCCACTGACTGAATGATGAGGTACTGAAACATGTTGTTGTTCCACTTACTGAATGATGAGATACTGAAACATGTTGTTGTTCCACTGACTGAATGATGAGGGACTGAAACATGTTGTTGTTCCACTGACTGAATGGTGAGGGACTGAAACATGTTGGTTGTTCCACTGACGGAAAATAGATGAATGAGGACTGAAACATGTTGTTTGTTCCACTGACTGAATGATGAGGGACTGAAACATGTTGTTGTTCCACTGGACTGAATGATGAGGGTAACTGAAACATGTTGTTGTTCACCACTGACCGAATGATGAGGGACTGACACATGTTGTTGTTCCACTGACTGAATGATGAGGTACTGAAACATGTTGTTGTTCACACTGACTGAATGATGAGGTACTGAAACATGTTGTTGTTCCACCACTGACTGAATGATGAGGGACTGAAACATGTTGTTGTTCACACTGACTGAATGATGAGGTACTGAAACATGTTGTTGTTCCACTGACTGAATGATGAGGGACTGAAAAACGTTGTTGTTCCACTGACTGAATGATGAGGTACTGAACATGTTGTTGTTCCACTGACTGAATGATGAGGGACTGAAACATGTTGTTGTTCCACTGACTGAATGATGAGGTACTGAAACATGTGGTTGTTCCACTGACTGAATGATGAGGGACTGAAACATGTTGTTGTTCCACTGACTGAATGATGAGGTACTGAAACATGTTGTTGTTCCACTGACTGAATGATGAGGTACTGAAACATGTTGTTGTTCCACCACTGACTGAATGATGAGGTACTGAAACATGTTGTTCCACCACTGACTGAATGAAACAGTGTGTGTTATTGAACAGGAGTGATGCAGGATGTCTCACTGTGTGCTGTCATGTCTCTCCAGGCCACCAGGGGGCGGAGTCCGAGCCGACAGGAGGACATTGAGCTGGATTACCTGGGTGTTCCTGCTGAAGAGGAAGGAGCTCAGGGAGCAGAGTAGCAGCTCCACGGAGCTCCTCTCTCACACATGGGTTTATCAGCTATTATAGCTTTTAACCAACGTTAGAAAATATAGCTTTCACTCTGAAAGTCACCAGCAATGTGTGAGTGCCTCATGTTTCCTGACTTCCTGTCAGCTCCAAGCCCATTGGACAAAAGTAAATAGTCCATACACTTATTTTTTCATAATAATGCTGATGTTTTTTTATTGAAAAACGTTATTTCAGAATAATTGAGCTTGATTTTGGTCTGAAGAAATTGTTTGTATTTTGTAAAAAATAAATTGCTTTTTTAGAGAAATCCGATTATATTTGTAATTTGCCAAAATGTATAAGATTTTAACTTTTCTTTAATGTTCTTATTTCAAATGTACTGAGCTCAGTTTTGTAATCATTTTCAATCATTCAGTATTTTTTTTAACTTTATATACATTTTAATTACATTTTTTACGGTATTTTTCTGTATTTTGTAGTAATTTAGCTGTTTTTAAGAACTCCACCTATTGGAGAGCATTCCAAAATTCATAAGATACTAAATACCAAAAACTTGTTGCATCACAAATTCTACATGATTTTATAAATAAGAGTTTTGACCAATTTGGTTTGCATGAGATTACGATGAAGCAAATCGTCTTAAATTCTGAACACAGCAGAATCCTCCAGAAATTCTGAAGTTGTTAAACATCACTGCAATAAATGCATCGCTGTCATTTGCTATGTACCAAAAAAATAATAAAACGTCTTTAATAATCCATGAAACTCTGAGAGTGAGCTGATTTCAAATGTGTTTCTCCTGGTTGGAAAATGTTTTGTTTGCTTTGTTTCTGTGTTAGAACTAAAGCCTTAAGGTTTAGTTATAACAGGTTTGTATTAAAATAATCTCTGAGTCAAACAAACGTTTATGATTCTTACATGTTTAGTTCAGCAGGATAATCTCCACATATTAGGGCGTTGGTGGCGAAGTCCATAGGGACTTGACTTGCCAACTGGAAGGTCACCAGTTCAAGTCCCGGAAAGACCAAGTGCTACCGAGGTGTCCCTGAGCAAGGCACCGTTCCCTACACTGCTCCCCGGGCGCCGTACATAATGGCAGCACACTGCTCCTAACACAGGATGGGTCAAATGCAGAGAAACCGTTTTGTTACATAGTACCTGTACTACGTAATGACAATAAGTTGAATCTTCAAATCTTCTTCTTCTTCATATTAACACCACTTTATGATTTCTAACGTAAAAAGCTAATGTTGATAAAGGAGCTACAGCACGGTCACATGACTTCATATCGTCCTCTGAACAAATGGACAAAGTAAAGGTATTTCGGTAATCAAACTGTGAGTTTGCCTTAACATATTGTATTTTATACAGAGATATGCAAATATGATATATTAGCTATTTGACATGGCATTAGGGTGTTGTCTGCAAATGACCAGGTGATAAAAACCTTTGCGTTGCACAAAGTGGTAAAACTCTGCCTACAATACTACTTGTACAAAAAGAAGGGCTTTCAGAACAACTTACCGTTGATGGTAGTGCTGCGTACCTGGACTCACATTCAGGTTCAGGTCCGGACTCAAGTCCAGAGGTTCAGGTTCAGGTCCGGACTTATAAGTCCGGACCTGAACCCATGGCTTGTGTCAAGTTGTGTGAGTAACTAAAGTGAACATTGTGAGCTAATTATCAATTAAAAATAAACTCATAATCAACTCAAATTCAAACTTGTCAGGTTTATTGTGCTCCCTTCCAACTTGTGTCTACATTTCTCTACAAAGTACAAATGTAAAAAAAACACTTTTTGCCACTTAGTCTACAAATGACTTATGACAGCAACTACAGTGAACTACTACAAAGTTCAAACATGTCTTTCATTTAGCAAACTAAAGTAACCAAACAGTCCCTGAGCTGACTGAGCCTAAATCCCTAAAACGTTGCTGAAAGGTAGAGTGGAGAGTAGACTATACGCATTACACTGTTACACACCTACTATACAGTATACACTGTGACTGTACAGTTAGAGTGTACTGTACTGTCTGTACACCATGTATTTTCTACAACTCTACATGTGTACATTATACAGTACATATACATATAGTGATGTACATACATACTGTTAGACATTAAAATCAATGTTGATTTGGCGTAATTTTGAATTAAATAGACTATTTAATTTAAATCAGTTTTATTCTGAAAAAACCGGAAGTTCAAACTATTAACTTAATACGTTTATTCTGAAAATTATTCACTTCCGGTTAGCATTAGCATGTGGGGAAATGCTACGTTTTCAAACCGTGAATCGAAGGTGAAATGACATGTGATGTTGTACACTGAGGACACTGTAATTAGCACTCATTTATTGACGCTGAATAACGTTTATCAGGGAATGTTTAAATAACCACAGACACCAGAATATACGTAAATGCTAGTTTTTTTGCGAGTCCAAGTACCGGTTCCCGACGTTCCGGTACGCAGCACTAGTTGATGGTGACCACATAAATATGCTTCCAAGGAGTAACTGTGACGTCATCAGAGTATTCACAGATTGACCTTGGAGTAGGAACAGACAGTTGAAATACTACAATATAGAAAGAAGTTAGGAAGGGTGTATTTACAGTATTTCCTTAATCCCTTGGATGAATTTCCCAAAACGCTAACCTCATTCTCTAGATTATCGAGATATTGAATAACATTTTGCATCATTTCCACATATCTTGCAGCCCTAGTCAAAACCAATCATACTTTTTTCAATCAGCTATGTACACTTCCCCACTCGCACTTAATTTGGGAACTACACTATAATGGGACATTGTAATGTATTGTTAATCTGTATATACTTTGTTCACAAAACTGAGGCTGGCCATTTTCATCCACCACCACAGCAGTTGTAGGCGGAATGGGCTCCAGAAATCCATTGAACACAGCCTCTCTGTCATGGAAGATATTCTCATAATTCAGCAGGAGGTCAGAAATGTATTTTGGGCCTAAACCATTCAAAGCTTTATAAACCAGCAGCAGTATTTTGAAATCTATTCTTTGACACAAAGGAAGCCAGTGTAAAGACTTCAGAACAGGAGTGCCGGGGGTCAGGTTTTTCACGTGCAAGAAAAAGCGCTGGTGCGGGACCGTAGCAGGATGATAGTTGACCTAATTAAAACCGTTTTTATTTGTATATATGTGTCACAGTATCACCTCAAAATACAAGATACGAAACATTTTCAACCGTGCAACATAATATATATAGTCCGACAAATATTTGTATGTGATTTGATTTCCATCTTATTTTTGTCTAAGCTCAGGGAGCCAGAGCAGAGGGCTTAAAGCTGCGGGTTGCAGACCACTGAACTATGGGGTCCGTTTCCCCCCCCCCCCCCCCACAAGTTCCCCCCCCACAATCAGTTAAGTTGAAGTGCCCCAGGGAAGAGGGGGGGGGTTCTGAACTGACACTTGACCTGCCGTGACTCAGGGAAAAAAAGACGCTAACTACCTGACGATAATTAGCCATCCCCGTGTGGAAACTAACAAAGCTATCTGGAGCCCAGGGAAGAAACAAAAGCAAAGAGGAGGAGGAACGGGACAAAGACAAAGGTACAGTAACGTTGTGATCATTAATCAATAGTCAATTGAATTGTAGTTACTGTTCAGAAGGGGCATAACGTGAAACCCGCAGGTCCCCACGAACCCGTTCACGTATCTAACAGATATTCCCCACTCAGCGAGACACCCGCTGAGAAGCCAACTTGATTGATTGATTGATTGAAAAGTTTATTAACAGCTTGTATATTGGGTACAGTACAGTACAGCTCAAAACATACAATTGTTAAGGGGATGCAGACCAGAGAAAGACTTTCGTCTTGTTTACATCAGGGTCCCCCATTTCCAATTAATCATATAACTCTGGTTATTGGTAGCTCTATTATGAGACACGTGAATTTAGAGACCGAAGCCTCCACAGTCACATGCATTCCGGGGGCCAGAGCGGGCGACGTTGAGGCGCATCTTAAACTGCTGGCTAAAAATAAACGTAAATACAGTAGGATTGTTATTCACGTCGGTGGTAATGATGTTCGTGTACGCCAATCAGAATGCACCAAACTTAATGTGGAGTCGGTGTGTAGTTATGCTAAGACAATGTCGGACACCGTAATCTTCTCTGGTCCACTCCCCAATCTGATCAATGACGACATGTATAGCTGCATGTCATCATTTCAGCGCTGGTTGTCTTGGTGGTGCCCAGCAAACAATGTGGGCTTCGTAAATATTTGGACAGCCTTCTGGGGAAAACCTGGTCTGATTAAGAGAGACGCCATTCATCCTACTTTGGATGGTGCAGATCTAATTTCGGCAAACATTTCAGGGCTTTGTGGACTTAATCCATGACAAACTGGAGTTGAGACCAGGAGGCGGAGTCGCAGTCTTACACGCTTCTCTGCGCTCTCTCCTAGGCAGTCATCCATAGGAATCCCGAACCCAATAAAATACCCAACATTAACGGTGTGTGTGTCTGCCCAAGGACAATTTAAGGTAAAACCTAATAGAGGTGTCATACATAATAACCTAATAAAAGTAAATGTAACAACTACTACAGTGCAACAAAACAGGAATATTAAATGTGGTCTCTTAAAAGAAAGTTTGGGGCTCTCTGCTGGAACTGCTACCCCCGCGACCCGACAACGGATAAGCGGGAGAAGATGGATGGATGGATGGATGGTCTCTTAAACATAAGATCTCTAGCATCTAAAGCAATATTGGTAAATGATTTAATATCAGATTATAATATTGATATATGCTGTCTCACTGAAACTTGGTTGAGATTCTGTTGGTTTTTGTCAGAGTGTAAATAAACCAACCCACTGCTATAATCACACTCTCGACCTTGTTCTGACTTATGGTATTGAAATTGAGCAACTATTAGTCGAACCGCATAATCCTGCTTTATCCGACCAATTTTTTGTAACTTTTGAAGTACTGTTACTAGACTACAAAGCATTAGTCAAAAGCTCCTGCAGCA